CCGATTCAATTGTCGTTGTCGTTGTCGGCCACTAGCAAAGTTGATTTTTCAGTCAGATAAAAAGCTTTAAGCACAGATTCCCAATTCACATCCCAATTCGAAATCGATGAGGTTATTGAAAAGTAGACTAGATGTTACCGTAGAATTTTAAACTGGCTGAATTTTTCAGATGTTTGTTCGATGGATGTCGAAAAAGGAACTTGCCATTTGCATTTGACGAAATGGTATTACAACAAAGACACTGGTGAATGTCATGTGTTCATGTATTCGGGTTGTAAGGGTAACGGAAATCGTTTCTCATCGAAAGCTGAGTGTGAACATTTGTGCCATAAGGAAACAGCAGTTTCGCAAGAAGGTAAAGAGAGTCATTCTTAAATCGCTCAAATATTCTGCCAATCTTCTCGCCTTACTTCAAAGTTCTATTTTAATGCAAGAACCTCTCATATTTGGTTTTGCGGTTGTCAAATTGCTAATATTATGAAAATACTTCTGAAGGTTGTTTTATAAATATCATTTTCGTCATTTGATATGTCAGTTCCAAAAATTTGATTTTTCAGATGAAGAGAATGTGTGTAGGATTGAGAGGGATAGTGGGCCGTGCACAGATCCAGTAACTCAATGGTATTTCGATCCAGACGAGCACGTTTGTAAGCAGTTCACTTATGGTGGATGTCGTGGAAACGGTAATCGTTTCGACTCGAGAGAACAATGCGAGAAGAGGTGCTCACCGCAATCACAAGATCTAGTGGCTATCGATTCAGAACGTCAGTTCATTCATTCGTTTGTGTCACTTCAGTTCAATTTCTCGAAATCATGCATCTTGAAGTAAGCCAAAATAAATCTGAAAAACAATTGAACTTCTAAAAATTCAGCATTTCTGTGGCATTTCAAAGAAAGTTCCATTCGGCAGGTATTCGAAATTTTTTCCGAGAACGTGCGATTGTATTCGGTTTGTTCTGTTACTGATCTACTGTGAATGAGTCATCATATATGCATGACGTGTTTCAGTATGTTCATCACTTGAGTTAAAATGAAATGAGAGAATGCAGTGAATTCAATGTGATGTCAACTTTGTTCATTTGATGGCTTTCAGGAGTATGTATGTTACCGTTCGAAGCTGGGCGATGTCGCGAATCGTACCGAAAATGGTATTTCGACAAGGCAGTTGGTTACTGCCGAATGTTCGTGTACAGTGGTTGCGACGGCAATGAGAATCGCTTCGATACAGAAGCTGAATGCAGACAAGCATGGTAGATTAATGAACAATTCTCTGAATTCTTCAAAACAAATCAGTGATACGTCAATAGTCATTAATATCTTGTGATGTCCTCTCACGCTATTTAATCTTCAAAATGCACAGACTTGAACCGTAATCAGACACATAAAATATTACAGCTCATCGCTAGCTTCGAGATACGCAATCGAGNTCAAAACAAATCAGTGATACGTCAATAGTCATTAATATCTTGTGATATCCTCTCACGCTATTTAATCTTTAAAATGCATAGACTTGAACCATAATAAGACACATAAAACATTACAGCTCATCGCTAGCTTCGAGATACGCAATCGAGAATCGTGCATCGTTGAAGTTAGTTGGCAGTCATGTGCCTATAGCTGGTTCGAAGCTTAAGTTGATTTGTTTAGCGCATAATCAACATCCAATCAGATGGTTCAAGAACGGTCGCGATCTGGAATATGAAATCGCGAACGATCACAGAATAAAAGTAATACTATGTCGCACTATTTATTTCACCATTACCATGAGATTATATTTTGCGTTGATGAGACGAGTCGTCAAAAATGATCTTGAATGATACTGATGTCAATGCTGAGAAGTCATTAATGTTTAAATCATGATCAAGCAGCTTCAAATTCTTTGCTTCTAATAACGCTGATCGAAACGTTTCGTGTAACAAGCGTATTTCGCATTAAACCGCATAAATTTGTGTGAAACATCATGATTGGTTGAGAAATGATCCTCCAAGAAGATCAGTATTATCCTCGAGGTGCTGCTCTTCGTCAATTACTGTTGTTTCATTTCAGAAGTCCGAAATGGATACTCATTTGACAATTTCGGATTTACTCGAGTCGGATAGTGGCGATTATTCGTGTTCAGCTGGTTGGACTGGAATTCTGTCAGATCCAATCAAAGTCGTTGTTAAAGGTATTACAAAGCTTTGTTACTCATCAACGGTTCCACATGCTGACGCGTTATTCGAATTGCCAAATTTAAAGGCAAAATCATTAAGGGCAACTAAATCAAACTTTAATTGTCTCTTCACATTATGGAAGAAATTGTTTCAAGTTTTATGAATGCTCGTTTGTATGCTGCAAACTGCATAGAACGTGTGATTGAATAAGATGTTGTGTCGAGCGATAGAGTTTTCTGCAAAAACATGTTGTTCACTCAGTGCTTAGGACTCGAGAAGGAATTCTCGAACTTATGCTCACTGCTGACGACAAGTGCTTGTTTGAGATTGCCCGTTTACAGTTAATGCTGATGAGCACAAGTCGCTCACCCGTCATTTTCGCATTTCGTTCGTTTCTTCATGAATTCGCCACCAAAAAGTTCTGTTGATCCCCATAGTCATTAGAGTGATTTCAGCCCTACAAATATCAGAGCAATGTGTCGATCGAGGAAATCAAGCCACATGTCAGCTGATTATCAAAGCTGGTTTATGTATAAACGCAAGGTATGGTAAATACTGTTGCAGGACTTGTACAGAATCTGGCTTTAGGGTTTGACTTGTATGAGAGATGCGATACGAATAGCTTTTCTCTGCTTTATTTTATGTTTTAACCATCACCAGCCTTGCTTAATATTGTTCATTGTTCATAATGCTCTGATCACATCGAGATCACATTTTGCTTAATCTTCTTGGAATGAAATTTCAAATTTGGAACACTTATAAAGTACGACTTTCGTAAATTA